AACAAAAACTCATTCGAAGAATTGGAAGATGAAGATTCCGACGAGCTTGAAACCGATTGTTCTGTTCAAGGATTCATCCAGAAAAAACAGATGAAAAAAACTACTCCTGCCCCTTCTTCCAGTAAACCATACAAGTGTGAGTTCTGCGGGGACGCTTTTGGTTGGCTTGAAAGTCTCAGGAGGCACTTCGAAAAAGTCCATCAAGTCAAAGACAAGAAAATCCTGACAGTGATTCAAAGATGCCACCTGATGACACACAAGGAAAACTCAAAGAAATATTTTTGTACAGAGTGCATCCGTATGTTTGACCAGAAGTTCAGACACAAAATGAAACATTCAGACGGGTCTTATCAGCAACCCCATCAACCTAATTGGATGGTCATCACAAGTGTCTGGCAATTGCCACAAAAAATACTTCGGCAGGTCGTCTCCAACAAAGAAGAAGCGGACGAACGGTTCCTGACAAAAAGAACCTTCAATTTCAAATTCATTTTGAATAAATACCAGGCAATGAAGGAGAAGGAGATAGCCCGAGGACGCAACTCGAACAACAACAGATCCAATATTAAAGGAAAAATGGAGAAGTTGAGAAAAATGGTTATAGTCACTAAAGGGATGACGGAGCCCCGTAAGCTTTCCGATTGGATACAGATGTACCCAAAAGTTTCCGCATCAAAATCAATTCTGAACATGTTGAATGAGTTGGATATCTTCATCGACACTTTTTTGAAGATTGAAATTGGTTCTTTTCAACAAAAAGTTGACATCTCAGCATTCAAAGGCCAGATAAAATTGCTGCGGAAGAATGAAAGTCGGGCAGGAAGAACCCGTAAGCAATTATTGAAGACCACTGCGGCAAACTCACTGCCAAACCCCAAAGAAATTGACGTCCTCAGAAAGCGCATTATGGAGTACTCGGAAAAAAAGTTCCAGGAAAACCTCCAGGGAATTCGACCTGATGAGTTCAGGACCTTGACGTACAACCTGATGGCACTAATATTTTTCAGGAACTCTTCCAGATGTGGAACGATTAGTCTATTCAGAACAGAATTCCTGGAAAATAGACATGATGATGAAAACCTGAAACTGTGTGCAATCGAACTGGCTCCAAAAGAGTTACACGAGATGAGAAAGGGACCAGGAGAGCGGAAGCGCATTCAGCAAATGCAGAAAATTCTGGAACGGACACCTAAAAATTTTTACAGCGAGGGAGTAAAAATTCAAGTAATCACAGATAAGGAAATGCAACTGATCGATGAGTTTGCTCTACTGCGAACCAAGCTAGGAGTAGAGCACACATACTTATTTGCTCCCACGAAAGTTCATGAGAAATTTGACTCCCATGATCAGAAGAACTATGGCAAAAACTGGTCACGTAGTTTACCTAAACAGCATGGACTCCCTCACTTGAAATTCAAAACTACCCTGCTCAGGAAACTAACGGCTTCCATTTGGAAAAAAAATATCCCTACCACTCTCCATCGCGAAGCACTTAACCAACATACCGGGCATACAGAAGCCACAGCCTTCAATTATTACGAAGTGTCGACCAGCAAGAAAAGGAACGCTGCGCTCACCAGCCACTATACGGATCTTGTGTACTGCCAAGGAAGTTTGAGCGATAATGTGCTTACCCTAGAAAGCATTACTGAACAACAAGATGACAGAGTTGACATCGACATTAATGTCGCACAACAAGATAACACGAATACAGACGAAAACGAAAGTGAGGAGCTTGTGTACGAAACTGAGGACGAAGATGAAACTCAAGAAAGTGACGGAGAAAAAGAAGGAAATAGCGAGAATGAGAGCGAATCTGATGACTCGCAGCAGACAGACAACAGCGATGGCGAGGAGGAAAAGAGTGTTAGGAGAGTAAGCATTTTTCCGAAAGCAAATCCGGTAACATTTCTGAAGAGCAGTACCGGAACCACGATTGTTAACAGCGCTTCTCTAGACCCTAAGGCGATTGCAACCATGATTCAAAACCAATATCAAAGGAAGGGTCGCCAAAAATATGTTTTGCGACCGGAGGATTGCCAAGAACTGGCCAATTTGTATATACTGTTCGTTCAAGGAATCTCAAACTTTTCGGCGCTCTATCGATCGAAAGCTATGCCGCTAAACTTAGACGCCGCCAAATCTATCTTCAAACAGATTACAAAATTGAGGAAGGAGTATCTACAGGGGATTCAATCCTCTTCAAAATTAGATTTGATCGGTCAACCCAGCCTGAACAAACTATAAAAACTATGTTTTTTGCATTTTTGTATTTGTTGCTGTAATTTTTATAATCAGATTCGAACCTAGGACATCACCTGAAAAAAGGTAGTGAATTGATTTTCTGTACTGGAATCAAACCAAAATTTCCAACTCACTGTTTACATTTTATATAGTGAAAAAGGAGAAAGCTAAGGCTTCAAAAAAAGAAAAAAAAAAGAAAAATGAGAACTTCAAGTTCCAAAAAAAGAAAGCTTTCTCAAAAAAAAATTTGGGATCGATAGTGTCCGCCTCCTCGTCGGCGATCCTGGATATACTCCCAAACGAAAGGGATGAACTGAGAGACACTTGAGTTTAGCTATAAAGAATTTGGATAGAGGTTTTCTGTTCTAGACGTTTTTTTCTGATTTTTTTTAATTGCGTGTCTTACTATTGTATAGTGAGTACAAAAAGCTTGAAAAGAGGTTTCGAATGAGCCAACGCCTAGAGGAAAATTTCTCGTTAACTTTTCCTGAGAATTTGTTTTTTTTTTTATTTTTGTAATTTTTTGTTATTTTTACCCAAATTTATATCAATTTCGTTGTTTTTCGTCTTAACCGAAACTTTCTAGTGTCTGGTGGCCTTTACCGACAATTCTCCACCTAATTTAGGCTTTACCACCTATTTTTGTTGACTAACCCCTAATTTTGGTTTTTATGGCTTTTTTCAGCTATTAATGACTATTATCCAGCATTTTGCAACCCTGATCAATTTTTGTAAAAACTCTAACTTTTTTTAGCCCTAAACCCAAGTCTTAACCCCAAGATCAATTTCTGAATCAATTTCTGAGAAGGTAAATTTGCGATCAAATTCTGAGATCAAAAAATGAGAAGGAAAAATTCTGGCTCAAGTCAATTTCTGAAAACCTCCCTACTCAAAAATTGATCTGGCCCTAGCCCTAACCCTAACCCTAACGCGACCTCAAAACTCAAACTCAATTTCTGAATCAATTTATGAGAGGAAAAATATGCTATAAATTTCCGAGATCAAAAATGAGAAGGAAAATTTTTTGGCTCAAGTCAATTTCTGAAAATGGCCCTACTCAAAAATTGTGCTGGCTAGGCCACTAACCCTAACAACCTAAGCATTCGCTACTCGGTAACTCCGCGTTCAATTTGATTTTGTTTGTAAAGGCTCTGTTGCATTTTCACTCACATTTGAATTTCAGTTTTGAAACACAATATTAATGTTGTCGTGTAGCTATGAAACTTCGTGTGTTTAACAAAGTAACAACTGTGAAGAAATTTGTTGATACTCTACATCGCAATATCAACCATTTAGCTAGTAATAACACGCAATACATAATGAAAATATAAAAATCGAAAGGTGGGGGAGTCGTAATTAATCTTAATTTTCGTTCAAATTTCCGCTAGTGACCCGAGGATACTCTCAGCCTCCTCCTCACTCAATCGCTCTCCTAACTTGGTCAGGATGTGTTTCAGTTCTATGCTGGAGATACGTCCGTTGCCATCCTTGTCGAACACTTTGAAGCCCTCGTGGAAGTCAGTGGCGGCGCTACTCGAGACACCTAAATTCATTCACATTTTCGACTCTTTTCCGAACAATCACTCCCCCCACCCCCTCCCTACACATTTGAAATTCAATTTTTAAGTTGAGATAATCTAACAAAGTTTTGTATGGTTGTATGGTGAACAACTTAACAATTGTGAACACATTTATTCATCATATCTTGCAGGGGGCGGATCTAGGATTTTCTCGAGGGGGGGGGCGGATTTTCAAAAAAATTTTGAAAATTTTTACGACCTTTTTAGATCGACCAAATTGATTTTCCGAGCTCTCCTAAAGCACTTAAAAAGAGGCTGTTTCGGCCCTTTTTGGGCACTTTTAGGAAAATTTTGACAATAAAATGCTTTTTTTTTGGCGCGCGCTCTCCCTCAAAATTAGTATATATTGGCGCCCAAGGCGCCTTAAGAAAAAATTTAGGGTCGGTCGACCAAAAATTGATTTCCTAAAAAGTACCAAAGGGGGGACCCTTTGGGTCGGCAGGGGGTCGAAATCCTGAAAAAAGCATCCCCCTCTAAATCCGCCCCTGATATCTTGCATCGTAACAACATTTTAAACTAAGAGGAAAACAGAATTGGCTCTGAGTAAAAGACATTCATTTTTTTTGCTGAGAAAGGTTGCTTCAGTATCAAACCAAGAACACAGATGATAGTTGCCCTAGAACCACCAACATTTTGGCAGACAGGTGAAACCATTCGGCGAATCACCTATGACTAATTTACGCGAGTTAAAAACGATTTCGTAAAATAACCAGCGTTATGTAATAACAAAAAGAAAACAAATTATTTCTCGAAGTTTTCTTCTGCTTCAGTTTTCAATTAATTTTGAATTCTTGGCTCAAGAACTGAAACTAAGTTCATTGTAACTTAATTAAAAGATTTTCGATCTAATCGCTCGCTTCAATTGCTCTAAATTGAATTAAAAAGCAAAACTTTCAAATCTGTTTTTCTCGATACAAAACCTTTCTTACAACCATTGAATCACACCTGAAACTTCGTGTGTTTAACAAAGTAACAACTGTGAAGAAATTTGTTGATACTCTACATCGCAATATCAACCATTTAGCTAGTAATAACACGCAATACATAATGAAAATATAAAAATCGAAAGGTGGGGGAGTCGTAATTAATCTTAATTTTCGTTCAAATTTCCGCTAGTGACCCGAGGATACTCTCAGCCTCCTCCTCACTCAATCGCTCTCCTAACTTGGTCAGGATGTGTTTCAGTTCTATGCTGGAGATACGTCCGTTGCCATCCTTGTCGAACACTTTGAAGCCCTCGTGGAAGTCAGTGGCGGCGCTACTCGAGACACCTAAATTCATTCACATTTTCGACTCTTTTCCGAACAATCACTCCCCCCACCCCCTCCCTACACATTTGAAATTCAATTTTTAAGTTGAGATAATCTAACAAAGTTTTGTATGGTTGTATGGTGAACAACTTAACAATTGTGAACACATTTATTCATCATATCTTGCAGGGGGCGGATCTAGGATTTTCTCGAGGGGGGGGGGGGGCGGATTTTCAAAAAAATTTTGAAAATTTTTACGACCTTTTTAGATCGACCAAATTGATTTTCCGAGCTCTCCTAAAGCACTTAAAAAGAGGCTGTTTCGGCCCTTTTTGGGCACTTTTAGGAAAATTTTGACAATAAAATGCTTTTTTTTTGGCGCGCGCTCTCCCTCAAAATTAGTATATATTGGCGCCCAAGGCGCCTTAAGAAAAAATTTAGGGTCGGTCGACCAAAAATTGATTTCCTAAAAAGTACCAAAGGGGGGACCCTTTGGGTCGGCAGGGGGTCGAAATCCTGAAAAAAGCATCCCCCTCTAAATCCGCCCCTGATATCTTGCATCGTAACAACATTTTAAACTAAGAGGAAAACAGAATTGGCTCTGAGTAAAAGACATTCATTTTTTTTGCTGAGAAAGGTTGCTTCAGTATCAAACCAAGAACACAGATGATAGTTGCCCTAGAACCACCAACATTTTGGCAGACAGGTGAAACCATTCGGCGAATCACCTATGACTAATTTACGCGAGTTAAAAACGATTTCGTAAAATAACCAGCGTTATGTAATAACAAAAAGAAAACAGAAGACAAATTATTTCTCGAAGTTTTCTTCTGCTTCAGTTTTCAATTAATTTTGAATTCTTGGCTCAAGAACTGAAACTAAGTTCATTGTAACTTAATTAAAAGATTTTCGATCTAATCGCTCGCTTCAATTGCTCTAAATTGAATTAAAAAGCAAAACTTTCAAATCTGTTTTTCTCGATACAAAACCTTTCTTACAACCATTGAATCACGCCTGATGGGGATTTAACGTGGCCTCGTATAACATTCGACCCTATCTGAAGTTCTTTTGCGGTATCTGATTTTGCGAAAAAAAAAGGTAAATGTTGAAATGGAACCGTTGAAGTTCCTATACTAAAACAGCTTATGAAATGCCTCAGTAAAACACTGTTTTCATTTTGACATGGTAATACACGATCCAATCATGCACATGTTAACTTTTGTAATGATTGGTTGAAACATATTTGTTACAGAAATGAAGTTATGAAAAAAATCAAGACAGCAAATAATTTTCTATCCAAAAACTCGAAACCCGATTAAACAAATTAAATCGCCCATCCAAGTAAATAAATTAACTTTTGTCCCGCAGAGCCATATACATGGGCACAAACTGCTCAAACGTAATCCGTCTTGTTGGGTCCTGTCTGAATCCAGACACCCGATCCACGTCATACTCTGTCGGGTTCAAACCCAGTGCCCTTGGCTAACGGGCCCACACTTTACGCCTCTACTCTCCCATCTCCTAGTCTGTCGAATAAATGAAACGAGTCTCGGAAGTCTGCCATCTGGTCATCTCCTAACGAAGCCATCTTGGAAGGCATAGTCAGTTTCTTCTGTTCCTTTACTGGTAAGGCAACGGGGTCTTTTTTATTATACGCCGCCTGTATTTGATCATTTTAAGGCTTAAATTAACTTAAAATCACTATTTTTTATTTGAGTTCAAACAGTCAAAAACTGCTGCAAATCAGAAGCATATAGACATTTTTAACGTCTCTAACCTTTACAATCTGGAAGGCGTATAACAAAAAAAAACGTCTCACCGAATTTACGGGTTGTAAAATTACTAAGCCAAATACTTGTTCAAAAGTTTTTGTTCTTACTTCTGTGCACTGGATAACTGAACGTAAATTGAAAACCAACAAGAAATTTTGCAGCAAAGCCAAAGGGCGCAGATTTCTCTGAAATAATAAATAAGTACTTCTCATATCAACCCTGGGTGAGTTATTAACCAATCCAGTCACTTTTTTTTTCGACGGTCAATTAAACTTTGCGTGGTGATTGAAATAGTTGAAACGAATTTAAATTGCATAGTTCCTTATTCTCATTTAGAAACAAAAGAAAAATTTGCATAACTAATCAATTTATAAAACGACTATCACTTTATAGCCAAATATACTGCTGAACTTAAATCAGAAACTAAGCCCGCAATATGACCTCAACTTCATCTGAAGTATTCAACGCAATTGTAAGCACTGATTAACAAAAAAAAAACAACAGACATGTGCTGTGTTTAAATAGACTTCAGAGTGCTGTTTGATGTCTAATCAAAATTATGAGCTGCATTTCTAAAACCTGCAATTTTATTACTGAGTTTTTAGCCATTTTGAAGGCTCGTAATTTTGCAAAAGTTGTTCCAAAAAAGCAAAAATTTACGTAGGTTCTGAGTCAAAGGTTTCTGAGTGTAGATATGTTGTTGTTGAGTTTCTCTCGTAAAATCAAAACGAGTTGTTAATTATTGACGTTTGACATGAGAATTTTTTCAATGAGAGGGTTCCTTCTGTTGTGAGGAGGGGCTTAGTTGAGTAATCGGGTGAGTTGTTTTTGACTTTGTGCCTCCATAAGCCTTAGTTGTGCTAGGAGGGGCTTAGTTGCCTACAATTCATCCTTTGCAGTTTTGTTGCCGTATATTGATTTAGATCACTTGACTTTGTGCCTCCATAAGCCTTAGTTGTGCTAGGAGGGGCGTAGTTGAGTGATTGGGTGAGTTGTTTTTGACTTTGTGACACTCCATAAGCCTTAGTTGTGCTAGGAGGGGCTTAGTTGCCTACAATTCATCCTTTGCAGTTGATTGTTGTTGTTGCCGTATATTGATTTTGATCACTTGACTTTGTGCCTCCATAAGCCTTAGTTGTGCTAGGAGGGGCTTAGTTGAGTGATCGGGTGAGTTGTTTTTGACTTTGTGACACTCCATAAGCCTTAGTTGTGCTAGGAGGGGCTTAATTGACTACAATTCATCCTTTGCAGTTGATAGTTTAACATTTATATGTCTAAAAAAGAGAAAGCCTTGGCTTCAAAAAAAAAAGATGAGAACTTCAAGTTCCAAAAAAGAGAAAGCTTTCTCACAAAAAAAGAAAAAAAGAAAAAAAAAGCCAAAAAAAGTTTTTGGGACCGATGGTGCCCGCCTCCCCGTTGGCGGTCCTGGATAGCCCTGTACAAAAACAGGGTGAACTGAGAGGCACCAAAAAAAAATCCAACTCGAGTAATTCATTTAATTATGTATTATTTATATCTTTTTTTTTCAAATTTAATTGTTACCTAAGATTTCATAGAATAAATTGAGCAAAAAAATGGGTAATTTTTTTTAATGGAAAATTTTAGATTATTTTAGTCTTTTTCAGAGAACTAAATGATGTTTTCTAAACATAACACATCAAGCCTGATTTTTTAAAGAAAAAGTTAGGGAAATTTAGCGAATGAAAAAAAAGTTATAGAGGAAAAACAGGTAAAAAACTGCGTTTTTTCAAAAAAGTGCAACTACAGGAAGCCAGATCTCAACAACGCATTCGAAATTTGATCTAATTTTGTTTTTAAAAGGTGACTCGTAAGTAGGACTAGAGTTGATTCTTCAATAACTTTTCGATAAAAGCTCATTTTCATACCGAAAAATTAGTTTTTATCGCAATCAGAGGGTGAAAAAATTGAGCAAAAAAATGGGTAATTTTTTTTTAAATGGAAACTTTTAGATTATTTTAGTCTTTTTCAGAGAACTAAATGATGTTTTCTAAACATAACACATCAAGCCTGATTTTTTAAAGAAAAAGTTAGGGAAATTTAGCGAATGAAAAAAAAGTTATAGAGGAAAAACAGGTAAAAAACTGCGTTTTTTCAAAAAAGTGCAACTACAGGGAGACAGATCTCAACAACCCAAACGAAATTTGACAAAATTTTTCTTCCAGAAGCTTGATCTTAAGTAGGATCAACTTTGATTCAACATTAACTTTTCTTTGAATTTTCGTCTTCACGTCGAAAAAGAGATTTTAAATTTTTTCAAATGCTTATATAATAGCCTCAATTTTGGCTGATTTTTTACTCCAGTTATTTGAATTTTTTTCAATTTTTAAGAGTTTTTAAATCTTCTAGTTTTTTTCCTTGTGAGGCCTATGCTATTTGCTACTATTTGAATTGTTTTTTTTAGCCAAAACCTATATCACAAAAAAAGTTATCAGCCCATTTTGTGTCTGAAACAGCGTTTTTTCAAAATTTGGTACTTTCCTTACCCAAAATCTCAGCGAAAAAACAAAATTTTTGACCCAAAAACTCTTTAAACGCTTAGGACAAGACTGAGACTTGTTATCAAGTCTTGTCACTTTAGGCAAAAAAATAACGTCTTCATGTCAAAAAACTGATTTTAGTGATTTTCTGATGATCAAATTTGGCCCTCAAAAAGTGAAATTTTTAAATTTTACTAGCGTACCCGTTCCGGTTGAGCTGTGGGGTATATATATCAAGCAAGTTTCACTTTCCCCATAAATCACATTTTGAATCAGATTAAAAATTTTTGAGGTCATTAGGCCTACTGTTCACCGTGCCGAATTATTAGGCAAAAATGGAAAATTGAATTACTTAGCGAAAAATTATCCAATTAAGCTCTAGTCTTTACCGCTGCGTAGCCTAAGATGTGTTCTAGTTATCTAAAAGGGTTTCGGTACGTTCCGGGGGGTAGCGCTAAGTTTTTTTTTTGTTTTTAAAAAAAATCGCGATTTTTCAAAATCGCGTTTTTTTACAAGTTTGAAGCATCATAACTCATTGAGTTTTGCTTCAAACAACACCAAAATTGCTGTCCATGTTGTCCAATTATTCGACAACGTTCAAATATAAGAACAAAAGCTGAATAGTAATATCTGATCTAAAAATTGCTTCCAAAAATTGGTCAGAATTCGAAAACTCGATTTTTTTTGCAATTTTTGAGGACCTCTAACTCAACAAATATTTGAGATATCTCAACAATTTTGATATCAAATGTTGAACATAGCCGGGTCAACAGTGTGACGAAGTTTCAATGGAAACCAAAAGTTTTAAAAAAAGTTAGAGGTCCTCAAACTTGCACCAAAATCGATTTTTTCGATTTTTTTTTAGCTTTTTTGAAGCTTGATAACTCATCGAAAATTCTTTCAAATGACACAAAAATTTGTGAGCGTGTTTTCACAATGTAGTACTAGACGTGGTTATAAGGAAAACAGCTGAATAGAATTTTTCGAGCCAAAATTCATTTTCAAAAATTGCTGAAAATCGAAAAAATCGTTTTTTTGGCAATTTTTGAGGACGTCTAACTCATTGAAAAAAAAAGATATCTCAATGATTTTTGTGTCAAATCTTACCCAACCTCAGTTTTGAGCAGTGACGAATTTTCAGCACAATTCAAAAATTAGAAAAGAAGTTAGAGGTCATCAAACTTGCAACAAAATCAGTTTTCAATTTTTTCTGATTTTTTTTTTGCAAATTTTGAGGACCTCTAACTCAAAGACCTTCTGAGATATCAAAAAGATTTTGATATCAACTCTTATACATACTAATGTCTCTATTTTGACATAATTTCAGCAAAATTCAATTATTAGAAAAAAAGTTACAGGTCCTCAAATTTGTAGCAAAATAAACAGTTTTCGAAAATTGTCAACTTTTTGTCAAATTTTGAAGACCTATAACTCAAAAACTACTCAATCAAAACTTATAAATTTTTGATATGTTGTCAATATAGCAACGTTCCATCGTTTGAACGTTTAAGAAGCAAAAATTTCAAAAAAGAAAAAATTTCGTTAGAGGTCCACAAAACTTGCAAAAAAAATTGATTGAAAAAAAAAAAAAATTGAAAAAAAAATTGATAACTAATAAAGAAAGTATCAGCTTACAGGTTTCTGAGTGTAGATATGTTGTTATTGGGTTTTTTTTCTCGTAAAATCATATTGAGTGCTTAATTGTTGATTTCAGACTTGAGAATTTTTGCTTTTTTGCTAAGGTCCTGTTGCAGGGTGGGGTATAAGTTATATGTTGATTCACTTAGAGATGCTTGTCGATGAACTGGTTCTAGTTGTTCTGATAAGAGTGGGTGTCTTTCTTCAAAGGTGTATGGATTGTCTTGAAAAGAAATGCGTGTTGATGTTTGAGGATTGTTTGTAGTTGTGGGTGTTATTGGACTTTCTTGGGATGTGGTTGGTGGGGGCTGGTTTGGTGGTGATTGATTAGTGTGATTTCTCAATTGATGGAGTTCGAATCTTACAGAGTTTTTGTTTTAGAAGGTCTTGGTTGTTGTTGTTGTTGGGTTTTTTCTCGTATTTCCAAATTGAGTGCTTAATTGTTGATTTTAGACCTGAGAATTTTTTCAATGTGAGGGTCCGGTATGTTGTGCGCATGACCAGGTTCTTCTATGAATTCTGTTCTACGAACTCGTAGGTTCTAGTTTACAGGTTTCTGAGTGTAGATATGATGTTAGATTTGCTATGAAGATACTTTACCAAACTATAAATATTGATCGGGTCTTTTTTCTTCAGGGAAGAAAAATGAAGAGAATAGACCGAATGCATTTGAGAAGAAAATTTGATAATTACTCAGTGGAAGAATGGTTGGATAAGGATAATTGGGAAGGTTTGATACCATTGGAAATCGAAGATGAAGTGGGAAAAGGGAAAGGTTTGATTGCAAGAAGGAAGTTTGAAGTGAATGATAGAATTGTTTTTTACCGGGGAAAAAGACTCACAGAAGCTGAGTATATGAAAAAACACCAAGTTGGAGACAATGAGTATATTTTCGTAAACAAAGAAAACAAACTGTATATCGACGCCACGGAAGACGAAAATTGTCTGGCTCGATATATTAACGACTCGAACAATGAGAAACCAAATGCGAGGACGAAAATTTACACCGATCGTTCGGGTAGAAAACATATCCAGATAGTTTGTT